AAAAAAAAAAAAAAATTTGTGCAGATGCCAGGAACAAACGGGGAAAATGAAGTCCATAAGCTCCCTTGTGTGCTCTAAGGCCCTCTGGCCTCCCTCCAGCTACCCTGGAAGTTCTCAGCGCAGGGCAGCCTGTCATGTGTCCTGTGTGCAGGGACACAGCTAGTGGCTTAGGGCCTTCCCACTATAGCTTTGTGGCCTCAGGTACTTTTTCAGCTGGGTCTTCTGCCAGCCGGACCCTTGGTTGGAAGCTGGGGCAGCAGGTGCTTTTTGCTCAGGCCAGCTGGTGGGGCTGTCCTGCCCAGTTTGGACTTGCAGGAGAGCCATGGGAGGGGCTGAGCAGTAGTGTGGTGGCTTGATGACCTGTAGTGCTTAGAAATGAGACACTTTTGTAAAAATCCATATAAGAAATTGTAACTCTGTGGATACAAACTTGGGCCTCTTAATGAGCTCCACCTTAGAGCAGGGCTTCCCTGTGCCCATCAGCAGAAAGGGCAGTGTCACATGAGTTTGGGAAACATTGGATGAAATGGTTCACCAGGTGTCTACACTACAGGACTTCTCTGAGCCTCAGTGAACTACATACATTGGGATTGTCCAAGAGGGGGAAGAGAAAACAATTTTCCCCAAACTGTTTGGCCAGAGAATCCCCTTTTCTGTGGAGCTTATCAGGGAGACTAGTGTTTCAGGACTAGGGCCTTTGGGAAATGCTACTACAAGTTACTGTTGTCTTAAATTTGTTTTAGGCAGCTCTCTCTGAGTGGGTTGGAGGGAGGGAAGTAGGTAGGTGGACATTGAGTTTGACCTTTTTTCTTAAGCAATTGAAAACCAGACTTTTCGAATATCCTGGTTTATTTTTTCATGATCCCCAGAGAAGCAGGGAGCAGGAACTGGTCCCATTTCTGGGAAGAAGCTGGCCTGTGGCCCCCTGCAGGGCTCATGGGCTCCTGCTGGAGCCAGGCTCCCTCACCTGCAGCTCCAGCCTTGTTCAGTGAGGCTTTGGCAGGAGCAGCCCTCAAGTGAGAAAGGGCCTTCAGCAGCTGCTGCTTTGGCATTTTGAGTTTTGGTGAGGTCTTGTGTTTGGGCTCTTCACTTGTATCCTTTCTCGATGTTTGATAAGCTGCGACCTTCCTCTTCTCTACACAAGGGGGCATAGGAGCAGCAGTTGCTTCCAGGCTCTTGTGGGCATAAAGGATGGGTGGCAGTATTCAAGACGCTGGGGGTGGGGCAGTGGACAATAGAGACGTAAGTGGCATTAGAAATATCCAGGATGCTGGGTTGGGGGTATGGGAGTGGGGTACTCTGCATGGCCATAGTGACATTTTCTCCCCTTAGCAGTGCAAAGGTCAGCAGGTCAGCTCACAGAAAGCTTCCCTATTGAAAGCAGGTGGGGATCAGCTCAGATCCTTGCCCGTAGGTTGCCACCTGTGTGATCTTCATTCAGCCTCCTCACTGAGCCCTTCCTCCTCTGGGGTCAGCTCAGTATCACCTCCTGGAGAGATCCTCTCTACCCCCCCCCATTTGTTCTTTCTTGGCCCCCTCTTTGTTCCCTTCTCAGTACTCAGCAGGTTTCTTCTGGTGAAGCTCCACCAGGACAGCGGCCTGATCACCCCCACCCTTGCCCTCAGTACTGGACTGGGGCTGGGCACCTCAGAAGCCTGGGGAGGAGCTCTTTTGAATCTGTCTGGGAGGAGTGAAGCTTTTCTCCTTCGGGCTGAACTGACTAGTTTGGTTCCTCTTATAATTTCACCTGTCTCCAAAACTTTCTAGAAGTAGTTTAAGGAGCAGAGCTGAGCACAGCACTCCTGCTTCCTACCTTTGGGACCTCTGAAAAGGACCCTTGAAATTTGAGTGAAGGGCTGGCCAGTTAGCTCAGTTGGTTAGAGTATGGTGCTGATGACACCAACATCCAGGCTTCCATCCCTGTACCTGCCAACCGCCACTCCCCACACCTCCCTGCCAGAAGAAATCTGAGTGATGACTTCAAGTCACTGTACCTGTGCTCCTTGGCACATGATGTGGGTGAGGCCCCCAGGTTTGTTAGTGTTCTGTATTACGCACATTGAAGGTGAACTGGAATTGTTTTGAAAAGGAAGCTTTGAGGTGAAATTTCTCAAGTGGCACTCTAGACATTGGGTGAACATGGCTGATTTCAGTCTTTCACTAGCTGTACCCCCCATAACAATAAAAACCAAACAAAACCAGCTCCTAATTTATCAATTTTTTTGGCATTTTTCTCAAGTGGATGGAAAAAAATATTTTCAACATTAAGAAAATATCCTAAAATGACAGTTTTTTTTTGGGGGGGGGGTTCCTGTTTTCAGAGATGCAAGAATTTTTATAGACAGTAGCATTTCCTCCTTGTTGCTCCTTCCTTTTGAGAAAGTGTGTGGCAGCTCATGGTGACTGAATGTTCTTGCCTTGATAGATTTCAAGTGGTAGTACCTTTCAACTAAGTTTTCTTCTCCTCTTTGAATTTTATATGTAACCACTGAAAAGCAGCTGCTTGCCATCCTACTTCATAAATTGGCACATGCAGCCCATTTTAGTGGCCCTTTAGGCCGATGGGGTTGGTTGCTGAGGGAGGGGTGAAGGTTGTCTTTTTCAGGCAGATTCCCACTGTAAGTCACCAGCTGTCCCTGTGTCAATCATAAGCCATGGGTCTGTGTGCAAGGGTGGGCATGCAAAGGATTTCCCAGGGGGAGGGGGTCGGGGTCTGGTGGGACATCAGGTCAGGCCTCTGGCTCTGTTGAGTGTCCTAATCCTCCTGCCCTCTCTCTCTGCAGAGTTGGGGTTTTGGAGGACTGCTTCACCTTCCTGGGCATCTTCTTGGCCATCATCTTGTTTCCCTTTGGATTCATCTGCTGTTTTGCCTTGAGGAAGCGAAGATGCCCCAACTGTGGAGCAACTTTTACTTAAAGGGAACAACACACCTGGCTTTCCTACATTCAGCTGTCTTTTTCTAATGTAAATGTTGTGTACAATAGTTTTATTTGATTAAGCTTCAGGACTGTTTTGTAAAGTGCAGTGGGATAGATTTGGCATGTGCGAGCTGAGGTTTCACAGAGCGTGGCAAGGCAGCAGCGCTGCTCCCCAGGTTAATGACAACTCAATAAAGCACTGCTTTTATTCTTTGCAGTCTCCAATTTGAGAAATACTGTTTTAAATAAATGAGATTCATACCATTGTTTACCTGGTTCTGCTTATTCAGTGTTTATGCACTGCCACTTAAATCAAGCTTTGTTATGGAAATTTCAGACATACAAAATAGAGAATAATGTACCCATTGCCCAGCTTCACAACATGCTCCAATCTGTGACCAATCATGATCATCTTCTCTTCTCCAATAGGCATTTATAGCTCATGGAAATGTGCTTGGTTTCAAATTCTTTATTATTAAAACTAAACAATACCTTGACATTTACAGAGCACGCACCTCAGTGCCAAGGCCATGAGGCCAGCCTCACCTCCTGGAATGGCTGAGTGACCACTGGGGTTCCAGTCTGAGGGGGTGGGTGAGCCAAGGGGGCCTGCCAACTGCATCTCATCATCCCAGGATTCTTCCTACCTGGACCAAAACCAGGAAAATCTCACAGTGGAGCTCTAAAGCCCTTTCCAGTCTGAGGGGGTGGGTGAGCCAAGGGGGCCTGCCAACTGCATCTCATCATCCCAGGACTCTTCCTACCTGGACCAAAACCAGGAAAATCTCACAGTGGAGCTCTAAAGCCCCTCCCCCCTTCTCTCCTCTTAACACAATTCCAAAACCTCATTCCCTCCCCACTGCTGAGAAGAATGGGCTTCCATCGTCTCTACTCTGACTTTTCTGAAATGGTGAGAGAAGTGGGCCATGTAACTGAATTGGACTGAATTTTCTTTCCTGGCTGGGGCACCTTCTCGCAAGGCAGGTGGTCCTGGGGGGTGGAGGTGACAATCTTGCGCTGGCAGCTCTTCATGGGTCTTCTGGTTTGTTCTCACAGGAGAGACAGTGACACTGCTCAACCTAGCTAGAAGGAGCCTGAAGTGTCCACACACACACACGTTTATCTGTATTTGATCATGACCAATTTCAAGCTTATAGGAGAGTAATACATTTGTGGTGAAACCGAAGGTGCTATGATAAGCAGCAGTGTGCTGTCCCCCCGCCCCCTCCCCATGAGTGGCCTAGGTGTGAATTTTAATCATGACTGTTTACTCCAAAATAGGTCCAAATCCCTAGCTGCCAGAGACAAACTCTAGCCACTGGCTTATGCCAGGCTGAGAAACAGACCCTCCCTCCAACCAGCAGAGGTCACCCTGGCTTTATAAGCACTGGTTGTGAGTCAGGACCTGATTCAAATGGGGAAACTGGGACCCCAAGAGGTTTCCAAGTGAATGAGTTATGGATGTAGCTTTGGTCAGTTAGCCTCATGAGAACACCTCAGGACTTGTACACACAGAACTCTCAGATGCGCAGGTCTCCAAGGCCCTGTGCAGCACGAGTAGCTCTTGGAGTTTAATTTCATAAATGCTAAATAGGGCTGTGATAAGGGTAGGCAAAGAGTCTCAGCACCCTACAGCTATATCTAAATCGGAGGACGGGAGCAATTTCTCCATCTCAGGCAGGTCTATCTACATTTGATTAAACAAAAGTTTTAAATCTTTAAGTTAAAAAATTATTACATTTTATATACTATTTTCATAATTTATATTGCTTAAAATTATGCTTTGCGTGCTAAGACGCAACCTGACACAATATGTTCTTTAGATAAACATAATGCTTTATATAAAATAAACTACAGCCTCATTGGCATTCAGGTGCAGAAAGCCAGTCATGAAAGCATCATAGACTATCCCTTATTCTGGCTGTTATTAAAAAAAAAAAAAATTCATAGAACATTAAAAAATGATACAGGAAGGATTGGAACCAAATTTACTGTTTTTTGAACAGAATAGGAAGAAAATATTTTAAATGATTGAGTTGGTCACTAAACTATTATTCATTTATCTTAAAGACAAATGTGTAAACCCAACTATATTAAATTGGGAAAATGCATTGATTTGCTCAAATAGAATACATTGACAATCGGGCACCCTCGTGAAGCTTTACAACAGTCACAGCACACACCAAACAATATACACCTATCTTTTTGCAAGTGAGAACTTAACAGAGGAATCAGAAGAATCCTTGGCCATCATCTCATCGGATGATGGGTGCTGATCGGTCATTTGTCACTGTTGGTCGGAGTTTCACAGTAGCAAAGGGGTTTTCTCCACTGTGGGGGAGAAGAAAAAAATCTCTGCAGAAATACTGCTCCAAGACAGGAATTTGATTTTAAAGGAGCTAATAACCACGGCTCTTGTTCTGTAAGATTATACTGCCTACCACTCTCCCACTGTGTACAAACTCAGTGCATTTTCTGAACATGAAAGTTTTACTCTGGGCAATTCCCTCCATGCCATGATAGAACAATCCAAAGTTTTAAATGTTTCTGACAGGAGAGCCCACACCTCTTCAGTCCTACAATGGGGAAGGAGGGTTATGTGGGACAGCCACTCTGGGAGGGGGGCTGGATCCAGGCAGATGCTGGGCTGTCCCTCCAGGCCCTGCTCCCGGGACAGTCTAAAGTGGGTGGTGATGAGAACAAGTGGCTGCAGTCTGCTCCATGGGCCCACGGTTTTTCATAAGACTGGCCCCCTGGTCTGGGCACCAAAGGCCCTTCTGGGGGATGCTGCAGGCCACTCATCCAAAAGGGAAGGGCAGCACCATACTCCAAAGAGCTCCATGTAGGGAGTTACACATACCTGAGGAAAGGTGGCTTTGCAGTCCCATTTGCATCACTCTGTGAGAGAGAGAAAGAGGAAATTTATGGAAGGCTCATGAATTTGGGACAATTTTAAAAAGACCCACAGGTAAAGACATCTAAAGGATAAGGGACTGTTTAAAGCTGTGCGTGTTTCAAAATACCTGTAGTCTTAATCCATTTGAGACTGTCTAGATATCTGTCTAAATTCACTTGAAAGAATAAGGGTGAGAACAGAAAATGTTCTAAAAGACAGGGGGGGGGCCCTTACAAGTGTCAGAATGTGGAATAAAAAGCTACCTCAGAGGGGGGCACTGGTGCCTGCACAAGTCAGTCCATGGTGTCCATACCTCATGCCTGAACAAGCCCATCTCCTAAATGTGGAAACTCAGATTTTACAAAGTTAAACTTTGAGCCAACATAGCTGAGTTAAAGAAAACACTTGCATGGGCCGGCCTGTCGCTCAGGAGAGTGCGGTGCTGTTAACACCAAGGCCATGGGTTCGGATCCTATGTAGGGATGGCTGGTTCGCTCACTGGCTGAGCGTGGTGTTGACAACACCAAGCCAAGGGTTAAGATCCCCTTACCGGTCATCTTATAAAAAAAAAAAAGAAAACACTTGCATGAAACAGAACATCTCAGAGAAAACAGATTCTGTGGCTCCTTGACCACCTTTCAAGTGCAAAGCTTTAGTGATTGCGTCTTGCTTTTGGGGGCCAAATCCTGAATGACTCAAAAAAACAGTAAGTAAAAATAAAACCTCATTGGTTTTGGGCGTTGTTGCCACATGCTAGAGCCAGGAATCTTCTAGGAAGTTCCAAAAAGTGAGGAAAATAGAAGATAGAACCAGACTCAAATGCAGTCTGTGTTCAGGAATAGCCTGAGCCCTACCTGGGCCGCCACCTCCCAGAGGGTCTCAAATGGGGAGCTGCCTCCTTCCAGTACAGCACACCCAGTGCTGGCCAGGAGCCAGTGTGTGTGCACCTCTTTCTCTCATTCCAAAAAGTTTGAGGGCTTTAAAAATCTTTCCTGCTGTTCTAAGAAATCATGGCCCTGAGCACATGCAGCTAGCTCAGATGGCCACCCAGGAGAGGGCAGTGTAATGCCATCTGACAGCCAGGGAGCCAGGCCAGACTGGACGTCTTCAGAAAGTGTCACAGGACTTCTGGTAGTCTTGGGCATAGGCAGACTTCTAAACGTTTACTTAGACAAGCTCTTTCACTTCCTGGTGCCAGCCGTGAGGGTGAAGGCTGCACTGGAGGTGGAGGCCCAAGCCAGAACTCCTCTGTGCAGACTGTCATGGCAGAAGGTGGGCTGGGGCACTGAGACTGTGACCTCAGACCTGCCTGCCACCCCCAGAGGCCATGGGCCAGCACCCAATTGAGTGTCTACTTTTTATCACTGAAGCAAAAAGCACCTGCCCTGCTCAGCCCATCCTTATAGGGCTACAAAAGTGATTTCTTCCCACAGGGCATGCTGAACTTCCTCAGCAGGCCTCAGAATAAGTCATTTCTGGTGTAACATGACATGACGATTAAGGGCCAATTTATGATTGATTTTTAAAATACACCAGGATGGCAGTTGATTTTGTGCTCAAAGTGCTGGCATGAATGTACTGCCTAGCACAGAAAGCCAGAGCGACAGCCCCAGTGTTGGGAAGGAGCCAAGTCTGCCCGTGTGCAAAGGCCTCCTGGGGTCAAGCCTATCCTCCCCTCCACCATCCTGCTGCTTTGCCTTCGGGCAAAACACCTCTCTCCCTCCTGCAGCCCCAAGTTGAAGGAAAGTGCTCTGAGCACCCTGAACTGGAAACTAGAAACGCCTCGCACTTGGGAGCACCTGCCACCCCAGCCATCCTCAAGCAAGCTCCTGGCAGCTTGGTCAGAGCCAGCAGGGCCCTGGCTGAACTTGAGTGAGTTCAGCCACATTTTAATGAGCACTTATGTGCTCAGCATGCTACGTTTGAGAGAAATAATAAGAGTGAATCCTTGAGAAGAACATGGCAAGAAGCAACACTGCTGCTGAGGAAGGAGGGCAAAAGATAACACTTAAGATGACAAACAGAAAAAAAAAAAAAACTTTCTTCCAGAACAATTTTTAGGGCCTAGCCCATGGCGCACTCGGGAGAGTGCGGCGCTGGGAGCGCAGCAGCGCTCCTGCCGCGGGTTCGGATCCTATATAGGGATGACCGGTGTGCTTGCAGCGCTCACTGGCTGAGCGCGGTGTGGCCGGTCTCAAAAAGGACAAAAAAAACCTGGGAGCGCAGCAGCGCTCCTGCCGCGGGTTTGGATCCTATATAGGGATGACCGGTGTGCTTGCAGCGCTCACTGGCTGAGCGCGGTGCGGCCGGTCTCAAAAAGGACAAAAAAAACCCCCAAAAACAAACAAAAAAAAACTTTCTTCCAGATGA